ATAAGGAAATTATGGATCCTGCTTCATGATCTGTCTTTAGTTCCTTAGGTGCTCACTATTACTCATTTTTGCTTTACTCTGGGGGCTGTATATCCCTCAGGTATATTGAAAGTGAATGCCCATCTCCTCATTATCTACACCTCTGAGGAGAAAGCTACTACATTGTTTCATTCCCTCTTTGTTCACATTTACTAAATGGACATATTTCCACAAAAGATCTACTTCCAGGTTTCTTTATTTATTTATCTGAACACATCAAATGTTGCAGCAACTAATTTCAGTTGTTCTCTTTCTGAGATGTATCTGAAATAATTTGCAATAGAGTGTATTCCTTCTCTAGTTTATACTTTTAACATATTCCTGAAATTTCTACCAGACTCTCCTGCTGCCTAATTTTCTGGAACATTTCAGTAACTGAAGTTATCAATTCTTCTCATCATAGAAAAGAGTATTGATTATGGAGTTAGAGAGAGTGCTGTGAATCCTACCTTCCTTCTTCCAATTTTACACACTATAACCCTTGGGATAAGTTATTGAATCTCTTGGTTCTCCTATGCAAAATAAGGAACGTAAAAATAGCATCTCTTTCATTGAGCTGTTGTGTTAACCAAATTAAAAAAAAAAAAAAACTAAAATGGTTAGGCAGTATAGGCATATGAGTGTCAATAAATGTCAGCTGTTTTTAAACATGTTCTCAGAAATTTCAGTAAATTCTCTTTCATAATACTCATCAGACTTTCCCCCTTTAATTCATGCTTTTCCATAAACTGTATTCTATAAGGACAAACATCTATTCTATCTTGTTAACAATTTGGATCCTGAAACTAAGAACAATGCCGGAACACTGCTGAGTACACAGAAAGAATTCAATGAATACTTCTGAAACTCATCTTATTTTTATCTAAGAGCTTTCAGAATACATTCAAAACTTCTCTTATGCTAAACCACAACATCTACAACCACAATGACCTGTACCCACCTGTCCCCAGCCACCACACAACTTCTGGCTTTATGATTAAACTGAATCAGTGTAATGCTGAACTATAGTGGCTCCTAACTATTATTTTCACATTTCCCCAAATATTCACTCTTATTTGGTCATGAATAATGCTACTAGTCCTTCCCTAGTTCAAAAACTTTCAGTGGTTCTCCATTACCCACTTGAAAATTGAAGCTAGGTAGTAAAAACATAATTCTCAAAACTATGATTAAGGCTTGGTTAAAATTCAAGAAGAAATTGAGTCAGATGAGAAGCCATGAAAGAACCATTCTGATTGGTCGAAGTATCTTGCACACTTTAAATATGGTACAAAACTTTAACCTTCTCAAAAACATAAAAAAGAAAGTAGGAGAATGTTTACTTAACAACGACCATCCAATTGTCTTGGGAGATTCAACCCACTTTAGAAATATATATGTTTTTGTGTGAAAAATAAACCTACATGAGTCTATCTTTAAGGATACTACTTACATTGAGTAGGAGAAAGAAGAATATCATTCTGTGATAATAGAGTGTTCTCTCTCTTATTGATAGAAAAGCATCAAATGTTCAAAAATGTGTCTTCAAAATGCTTCAGAAAAAGAGGTCATCCACAAACAAAATAATGATTTGTGCCGCTACCACAATTATAGAATTTGTTTGTTTGTTTTTAGTGGGACAACCCTTAAAAGGGAGATGGAAGAAACCACTAGGCACTGAATTTCTGATGAATGAAAATTAAAATCATGCCATGTGAAATTTTAAATGTAGGGGTCTTTTGAAACATCTTCTTAGCTCTCTATGTCTTGTTTAGAATCTTCCCAATATATTGTATAATATTTGAAATCACTAGTCTAGCTAAATTAGGAAAGAAGATATATATTCATGATGCAACATTTTGGAAAAGAATCCAATTTCACACCAATTTAGAAAAAGTTCTGTCCTGGGTGATGGGCACAGGAGAAACCCAGTGCTTACAAGTTTGACTCTAAAATTGAACACCTTCAGCAGAACCGTAACTTCCCTCAAAACCTGTCAGTGCCAATCACATAACTCGAGAAAGGAAGAACTACAAAGAGATCAACCCAGTCAGTCCTAAAGGAATTCAGTCCTGAATATTCATTGAGAGGACTGAAGTTGAAGCTGAAGCTCCAATACTTTGGCCACCTGATGCAAAGAATGGAGTCATCAGAAAGGATGCTAATGCTGGGGAAGACTGAAGGCAGGAACAGAAGGGAACGACAGAGGACGTGATGGCTGGATGGCATCACCAAATCGATGCACATGAGTTTGAACATGCTCCAGGAGTTAGTAATGGACAGGGAAGCCTGGAATGCTGCAGCCCATGAGGTCGCAAAGAGTCAGACACAACTGAGCAACTGAACTGAACATTTAAAATACTCTGGCTTGATTCTCCCTCCATTTAAAAGAAATCCAAACACAGAAATGCACAGTTCCATTGCTAACTAAAACATGATTAATTTGTTGAACAATCAACAAAGTTCCCTCCTTTACAACATTACTACAGGTAATTATTAAAAATTGTATTTCAAATTACTTATAATTTTTTCAAATTAACCAAGGATATAAATTACTCATTTTAAAGATTAGTTCTTTTATGTAAGTGAACAGATTTCATTCTAGTTTTGAGGCTCATGAAATCAAAGATTAGTGACCAGGTTTACCTCACTCCTAGGGTTACTCAAATTGTTATAAAATACATAATAAAGTACATGCATCTGTATTCTATAGGTTTCCAAATGACCCAGTTAATTTTACTTGTTTAGTTGCATTTGTTTCCATTCGAAAAAAAAGTTTATAGAGGGAAACATGAGTTTAAACAAACAAACAAACAAAAAAAGAAAAACCTCTAAGAATGATCAACAATATTATGGAAATAGAATTTGTTAAGGAAAAATCATGTTCATATTGCAATCAGGAGATGAAATATGAGTGATCATCTAAAAATATCAACCAAGGATTAAGCTATGCTGAACATCTCAAACAAAAACAAGTCAAAAATCAGCTTTGCCAAATTTCAAAATACACAAATACTGACTGGAGATTAAGAAGTGTTAACTAATGAATATTATTCAAAATATCTTAGAAAATGATCACAGTGTCACTGATACAGCATATTGAGGATTTTTAAAGTAGTACATTTTTGCTTTCAAAAAATAATCCAACATTCATGTCATAACTTGCTTTATTCTCCAAATATTTCTTTCACATTGTCATTATTCTCCCAGCTGCAATTTGATGTTTCTATACCTAAAACTCCTTATGAATGTAGCACACAGAAGCCAACAAAACAGGAAAAAATCTACTTGTTCAAAGGTCATCTAGTCCTGTTGGTTTAACATTTTAAATCATAAATAACTTAAGCTTTTATCTTATATAAAGACATTCTATGATCTCGACAGTATCTAGGGTCTTGCACAAGGAGTGAGTCCATGGGTAAAGGTTTTCATTACCCAACACTTTTCTGTGTAAATTACTTGTTCGTTTCTTTATGCAGTTACTCCTTACAATTTACCTCCTGTAACTGGTGGCTTCTCTCTATCCACTTCCCCAAATGAGACCACAGCTCTTCCACTTTCATTCTCCAAAACACTAATAATGTGTGCTCATTATGCAAATAGTTTTATCAAAGATTTAAGAATAGTGAAATATATTTACAGTACTCTGCAAACAGGGAACAGTTTCAGAATAAAAATGAAAGTGAAAGTCACTTCACAGTTCAGTGCATGGAATTCCATACTGTACAGTGCATGGAATTCTTCAGGCCAGAACAGTGGAGTGGGTTCCCTTCTCCATGGAATCTTCCCAACCCAGGGATCAAACCCAGGTCTCTCGCATTGCAGGTGGATTCTTTACCAGCTGAGCCACAAGGAAGCCCAGGTACCTAAATCTCACAACCACGTCCCACATTGGGACATCTTATTTATTGGCCGTATGCTTCCTTGAGTCCTGACATAATTACATGTTTATGAGCATCCTTACTGCACATGCCCTGCCCTCTGAAGTACAAACACTTGCAAGCATTCCACATTCAGGTTTTTAATTTTGCAGAAATAGTAATTTCCCTTTTTGAGCAAATCATTTCTATAATATATGAGCTCAAAAGGCTTTCTCTCTCTGACAACAACAGCAAAAGACAATCAAACTGTTTTGCTAAAAGGAAAAGAAAGGAATACCCAGCTTGAGAAAAATACATATCTCATTCTCAGACAAAGGAGAGTCAACTTTAAAAACCAGGAATGGTTTCTCGTATTTCATGCTCACTGAAATAAAATAATGTAATCAAGAGTGTATGGCGTATACTGAAAATAATACACTTGAAGTCAAAATGATAAGAATTTAGTCTACAATTTTTCTTTCTAAAGCTGTGTGACTTTAAGTAAATCATTATCCACTCTTGGCTTCACATTCCCCCCCATGCAAAACATGTATTTTGATGACTGGCTATGTGTCAGTATTATTTACAAAGGTAAAAATAAAAATCTTTGCCAAAAGAAGCTTAAAACTAAAGGTTTACATATGGGAAAGGAATTATCCTTGATACTCTTAGAACCATCAATCTCTGGTATTTCAAGAAGGTATATTATTGCCAAGTGGAATATGGAAAATAAGAGTAGAAACAAGGTATCTTATTTATGCTTCTTATTGCAAGTTGATAGGTTAAAAATAACCCTAGAGATATGTCTTCAGTCTAGTGTTATGTAAGTCATTATTTGGAGGCCATTCATCTTTCCCCAGTGGAAAAATAATTTCAAAATGATGATGAAAAAAGATAATACATTCACTATTTAATGTTTATGCAAGAAAAAGAGATGATATGTATTTGGAAAATAGTAAGAAAAATATATAAAAGTGGAAATAAATTATTCAAATAGGACTTAAATTTCTTTAAGATACTATATTTAAAAAATATAATAAAAATATGGTAAGAAGGTTGCTATTAAAATTAAAAACTCAACATCTCATGGTACACGTTACTTGTGCACACAGACAGTTCTAATTAAAACTGTCTCCTACTTAGGGTTTGTCTCAGAGCAAGTTTAACATCTTTGTTCCTCAAACTGTAGATTAGTGGGTTCATCATAGGAATCAAATTGGTGTAAAAGACAGAAGAGATTTTCCCCTCATCCATAGCAGAAGGTGGTTTGAGATACATAAATGCCCCTGATCCAAAGAAGAGAGAAACAGCAATGATGTGTGAACTGCAGGTGCTGAAGGCTTTGGACCTGCCCTCTGTGGAGCTGATGTGGAGGATGTTGGTGAGGATGAGACCATAAGAGACAAAGATGGTGAGACTGGGCACAATGATATTGATGCCCACTACAATGAAGACTACCAGCTCACTGACATAGATACTTGTGCAGGAGAGCTCGAGCAGAGGGAGGATATCACAGAAATAATGGTTGATGGTGTTTGCATCACAGAAGGTCAGTCTCAGCATGCATCCAGTGTGAGCCATGGAACCAGAAAACGCCATCAAGTATGAACCAAACATAAGGCTGGAACACACTTTAGGGGACATAACAACATTATACAAAAGTGGCTTACAGATGGCCACATAGCGGTCATAGGCCATTGATGTCAGCACATAGCATTCAGAAAGGCTAAAAAAACAGAAGAAGTAGAGCTGGGTCATGCACCCCATGTAAGAAATAATATTCTTCTTTGATATGAAGTTAATCAGCATTTTGGGTGTAAATACAGAAGAATAACAGAAGTCTATGAAAGACAAGTTCAACAGGAAAAAGTACATGGGGGAGTGTAGGTGTGAATTCAGTGCAACTAGGATTATCAATCCCAAATTTCCCAGCACAGTGACCATGTAGATTCCTAGGAACAAGAAGAATAGAGGGAGTTGGAGATCTGGCTGGTTGGTTAATCCCAACAGAATGAATTCGGTCACAAAAGAGCCATTTTCAAGAGCCATTCTTCTCAAAGGTGATCTGTGAGCACAGAAGAAAAAGGTTACATGGAGATCAATGACTCAATTTTCACACAATATCTCCTCTCCCAAGTGTGGTGTTTGGGCTGGGAATCTCTGAGAGTAACCCAGCCTTTCTCACAGAATTGTCTTACCTACCTTCTCATGGAACTGTGTCACCATTATCCTGAAACTGAGTGACAGGGAATTTCACTTTCTCGGGTCTTTGTAAACTAAGTAGGAAAGAGTATCAAAACGTAGCCTACAGAAGGAAGGAGACAACTGCCCTGTGCAGACTTGACTGTTTGGGGAAAAAACAAAGAGTGGATAAAGGAGAGGCTTGGACCAGGATTGACTCATTCTTCCCACATCTCAACATTTCTCCTTTCACTTGGAATCTCCCCTCACCAGTAAGACTATAGGCAGAGACTCTAGCAATTAAGTGCTGGTTTCTAAAGCAGATTAGACCTGGTGGGGTGAGAACAAAGAAAATTGCTTCTTAACTAAAACTAAAAGGCCAGAGTCTATGAGAGGTTAACTCTTCACCCCACATCACAGAGTAAAAGCTTTAACTGTAGATGAGTGAGACTTCCGTCCATGGAGAGGGAACTTACTGACTGATCTAATGCATCCTTTTAGGCCCCTAGTGTCTCTGAACATTCACTGATTCATGCCTTGTATAGACATTTTTCTAAGTTTTATGTGAGTCTCAGGGTGCTAAATTGGAAATAAATTGTGGTATCTTAGATCCTTGGACTTCCATTTCAAACAATAAGGGCATGAATAAATGGAATTCAGCAACTCACCTTCCGTTCTCCAGAAAACCCCAGGGCTTTTTTATCATTGGTTTTACCCTCAGGTCTTAGTAGGACAATTTCAGGTTCTGAAGCTTTGGTTCTGTTGATTCTATGAGAATGCAGCCAACATGTATTTTCTGATTTGACTTCAAAATCTTTTAGAAATATAGATTATAATTTCTGTTTATGACTTTCAGTCCACTCAAGCAGCAGAGAAAAATAAACATTCCTCTTCATAATATTTTTGCCACTTGGTAAGTCACAGATTTAATGTGAGTGTAATGCTATAATGAACTCAGTTATAAACATGGCTGAAGTTGTTCAGGCTCTTCCCCAGGGAAACAGTCTATATATAATAAGGACCTGGAGGGATTGTATTTCCATACTGTACCTTAATCTGTCCTTAGTCCCTTAGAGATTCCATAGTTTACTCAAGTTTTCCCTTCACTTAGGGATTGTCCATTCCCCAAAGAAGAGCCAAATCTCCCATTTTCTGTTCACTTAGATTACAGAAATGAAGAGGAAGCCCAAGTCTTTTTTCCTACAAAAACAACTGATGCAAAAACAATTGATGTATCAAATATGTAAGATTCAGAAATTGTCAAGAGAGTCTTTCACCCAGTTCATGCATGAAGCTAGACATATTGCAGCTGGGTGTAAGGGCAATGAGCAATTGCATTTCTGGACAATATGATTCAGAAATGAGTCCTAGCAAATCAGTGCTGGCACTGTGCGTACTCACTCAGTCTGTCCAACTCTTTGTGACCCCATGGACTGTAACCTGCCAGGCTCCTATGTCCATGGGGATTCTCCTGGGAAGAATACTGGAGTGGGTTGCCATGCCCTCCTCCAGGGGAGTTTCCCAACCCCAGGATCAAACCCATGTGTCCTTCATTGCAGATGGATTCTACCATCTGAGAAACCAGGGAAACCCAAGAATGCTGGAGTGGGTAGCTTATCCCTTCTCCAGGGGATCTTCCTGATCCAGGAATAGAATCAGTTTCCCCTGCATTGCATTTGGATTCTTTACCAGCTGGGTTAGCATGGAATCCCAATAAACTGGCCTATCAATGACTCACTTATAGGAAAAATGTTCCCTCTGAGATTTTCTAATCCATCAATTCTCTACACATTCTAGTAAATAATTCTTATTAAAGGAGTAAAGGAACACTAGGTCTTCAGGTGAAAGCTTTCTTATAATTTAAACGGTTCTGAAATAACAGTTTTCCTCTATATCATAACTTGAACAGTGCAAAAAACTCAGGTTTGTGAGTATCCTCACCATTTTTGGTTTCTGTACTGGGGTAGAGTTTATTATGAGACTGTATCTCAGCCTGTTCTATCGACCTCAGTGTGAACTTTTTCTCACCTTACAAGGTAAAGAAAGTGCTCAGCAAGTTTTCAAATCTTTTTCAGATATGATCATTTCATATATACCTGTAGAATCACTTCATTCATGGAGGGAGGTGAGCTCAGGATCTTCCTATGTCACCATCTTGAACCATGTTCCCTAAAACTGGGCTTCTCTGATAGCTCAGTTGGTAAAGAATCTGCCTGCAATGCAGGAGACCCCAGTTCAATTCCTGGGTCAGCAAGATCTGCTGGAGAAGTGATAAGCTACTCACTCTAGTACTCTTGGGCTTCCCTTGTGGCTCAGCTGGTAAATACCCACCTGCAATGCAGGAGACCTGGGTTCGGTCCCTGGGTTGGGAAGATCCCCTGGTGAAGGGAAGTCTACCCACTCCAGCATTCTGGCCTGAAGAATTCCGTGGGCTGTATAGTCCCTGGGGTTGCAAAGAGTCGGACATGACTGATCAACTTTCACTTTCACTAAATGTATACAGTCATTTTTTTCCTCAATAAAACTGCAAAAGTATGATAAAGTCATCAAATAAGATATTTTATTTTTAAATTACAGAAAATGTATGGCCATTGGACTTCCCTGTTGGTCCAGTAGTAAAGAATCCACTTGCCAATGCAGTAGACATGGGTACAATTCCTGATACAGGAAGATTCCACATGTCCTGGTACAACTAAGTCCATTCACCACAGCTACTGAGCCCTCGGGCCAGAACAACTGAAGCCCATGCTCTCGAGTCCAAGCACGGCATCTACTGAGTCCATGAGCCACAACTTGAGAGCAACCCTCACTCGCCACAACTAGAGACAGCCCAGATACATGTTTGGAACAACTTAAGTATGGGATTCTGTCTCTCCAATTGTAAATTTAATGAAATCTAAACAGAGATCAAGGGCTCTTAATATTAAAAATTTAGTGCCACATTGATCTGTGCTGTTCTGAGAACACTTTGAAGGCTTAATACAATAAAAGGTAAAAATGTCTTCATTTTTATATTGGTTGCATGATGAAGTGATAATATTTTGGGTCTATTGAGATACAAGAAACATTATTTTAATTAATGTCACATCCTTCTCTTTTACCTTTTTAATTCAGCTAGCATAAAATTCGAAATCACATGTAAAAAGACTTGAAGTATATTTAAATTGGATATTGCTATAATCATTCTTTTTCTTTTTATTTCCTTCCCATTTAGGTCACTACAGAGAACTGAATAGAGGTTTTTGTGCTATACAAGAGGTTCTCATTAGTTATCTAGTGTATACATAGTAGTGTTTATACATCAGTCCCAATGTCCTAATTCATCCCACCTCCTCTTCTTTTTGTTGTTGTTGTTCAGTTTCCCAGTCTTATCTGACACTTTGTGATTCCATGGACTACAGCACACCAGGCTTCCCTATCCTTCACTATCTCCCAGAGTTTGCTCAAACTCATGTCCATTGAGTTGATGATGCCATCCAACCAGCTCATCCTCTGTCATCCCCTTGTCCCCCTGCCCTCAGTCTTTCTTAGCATCAAGGTCTTTTCCAATGAGCTCATTCTTTGCATCAAGTGGCCAAAGTTTTGGAGTTTCAGCTTCAGCATCAGTCCTTCCAATGAGTATTCAGGGTTAATTTCCTCTAGGATTGAGTGGTTTCATCTCCTTTCTGTCCAAGGGATTCTCTGTGACCCCATGAGCTGTAGCCCACCAGGTTCTTATGTCCATGGGGATTCTCCAGGCAAGAATACTGGAGTGGGTAGTCATTCCCTCTCTAGGGGATCTTCCTGACCTAGGGATCTAACCCAGGTCTTCCATGTTGCGGGATGATTCCTTACCCATCTGAGCCACCAGGGAAGCCTCTTCCCTTCTTAGTACCCATAAGTTTGTTCTCTACATCTGTGACTCTATTTCTGCTTTACCATTTTAACTAATGGTTGTTTATCTCTACCATTTTTCAGGATGTAATTTAGGAATTTGTTGGTCTGTGATTCAGAGGACCATTTTTGTCAAAACTAGAAAACCAGAGCTTCCAGCTCTGTTTAGTACATAAGTTATTGTCACATTCCATAGTTAACCTGATGGACTCTCAGTTGTGAAAATTTCAACAGTTTCCCTTGTTACTCATCGGCTCCATTCACATACATTAAAAAAGCAAAAACAACTAAGAATAGCTATGCTGTGCAAGTAAAATACCCTAACTTGATTTCCCTCTTTTGAAAGAAGTACAAATAGATAGACACAGTACTTATTTGTAACTAAAATGTGTTCAAATTGCCCAACTCTCTAAGTTATCTCCTTAGAAATGTCACCACTCTTTATTATAACAATTACTATTTAAATATTTTTTTCCAATTAGTCAAAGACAAATTACTTTCAAGAAAACTTTATTTTTTTTCTGTTAATAAAGCACATTTCATTTGCATTTTGATGTTCATGACAGATTAGTAACTGGGTTTCAGCCACTCTTGTGGCCACCTCAAATTATGATAGAACATATAACCTAGTGGACACACCTCTGTGATGTCCACAGATTTCCAAATACACTTGGATATTATTTATACCTGCTTATATATACTTTTCTTTCAGCAAAGAAAACAAGTTTTTTAAAATGAAGAGTAAGTAAAAGAAAGGGGGGAAAGCAGAAAGCTTCAGCCGAGATTA